GCACTAACTCGGGACCTCTTCACCAGAATTTATCCGGCCTTCGAGCCGTACTTCAACATTATCTGGAGTTAAGAGACCTTCTGGGATTTCATCAGCCTCATGACCCCTCCACATGTACGTTTTGCTTTCCCATCAGAATCCAGATCTCAAATAGAGATTTTAGGTATCCTTTGTTTTCCTTCTCTTCAAGGGTTAGAAATAAGATGTCCTCATCTGGCCCTTCACCCACTTCTTCACTGGAGTTCTGAGCCTTTCTGTTGTTGGTTTCTTTATGCTTTTGTTCCTGTTTGGAAGTTTCATCAACATTGTCATTCGTTTACTGTGTCTACTATGTGGGTTGTTCAAATGACTGGTAAGCTCAGATACTGTTGGTATTGTGTTATGGCGAAGAACTGTCCTATAAGGACTTCTACAGATTACGGACGTCTCAAAATGTCTGGCAGATAATCGATCATGTTTATTTACCTGATCAGGTGTTTTATCTTCTAAGTCTGCTCTCCAACAATGCAACCACTTCTGGCATCTGGCCAGGTCCCGCGGCAACGTGAAGAAGGCCAGGTCGGGCTGCCTGCTCTTCCAAAGGTAGTTGGGAGCAGCGCTGAAGTTCGGAATCGTGGCCTGCCTGCCTCCTCAAGGTAATCAGCCCGCCCCCATGGGGACCAGGGAGGGCAGCCATGCCTTCTGATGCAGGGGAGGGGCAGGCGGGCGAGAAGCCACAGGGGCCAGGAGGGGCGCCACCGTCTGAGGCTGGCTGGGGACGCGGCTCCACAGTGCTCTGAGCGGCCAGGAGGACTTACTGCACCACTGCTGCTGCTGGTGCCCTCCTGCCTGCGCCGACGCTGCTGCCTCCTTCCCACAATGCCTGTGAATCAATTTTTAAATCAAGAAGTATTTATGTCTTCCCAGCCTCTAATGACCTTTTTGAAAATGAAGTTGCAAACACTTTACACATTTCAGCTCCAGAAAAACTCCCAAAATACCTAAGGGCGTGTGCAAGCTTTTCTTCTAATCTGATTTTTAAATGGAAGCATCTTATATTTGATACATTATTTGACGCCTTTTAAAAAATGAGGTCTAGAGCACATTTTCAATAAAAATATACAAATATGTGGTTGTACAGTAAAATGTATAACATAGCTATTTGTGTATATGTGTGTATATAATACATGAATATAGTTCCTCTCTATTCTTTTTTTTTTAATTCTTCATTATTATGCACCACTTCTTAAAATGGTGTAGGGGATGGATTGGTAGCTTTGGCTGTTTCTGGCTGATGTTTTAGAGGGCTACTAGAATGTGCAAAGAGGTAGTCACACAACAGTAAACCACCTAGGTATTCAATGTGCTCTTTCAAATGTGTATTTAAGGACACAAAATCTTCTGTGTGGAGACAATCAGTGCATGTAGGTAGACTAAATTCATGCTAGCAGCCAAGACTTGACTCTCTCAGTAGACAAAAATTATTCATAAACCATCATGTAAAGAGAAGGGAGCAGTCAACCAGGAGACCCAAGGGCACAGCTGCGAGTCCTGAGTAGCAATATCAAGCCTCACACTGCTCATTACGAAGAGGGAGGGTTTCTGCCTTCATTTATTTTAGGATGCAGCTTACATAAGGCCATATTTCTGTCATTTTGATTCAAGCAGAAAATCCCGTGCAGATCCCAGAACACATTACTGTAACATCGCTAAGAGGAGAATTGGGTCAATGCAATTTAGAGGATCAAAATAGCTCTGTACTGTGAGAGTAGAAACTCTGGTTTATTGGAGGGTAACTTTTTTTTGATGGTCTCAAAGTTTTTAAAAAAAGCCTTAAAACCAATTTTATTAAATAGAAACTTGAGAGATTTTTTATTCTATGCCGTAGAGATCAAATGGTTTTAGGGTGGGGTGGGAGGCAGATGCCAAGGGCTTACTGGAGTGAACTGCAAGGAACTCCAAAACTTTCTGTGCTTCTCCTGAATTACCCTTGCTTTGTATCCGAGTCTTGTCTAGACCACATTAAATGGAGTCATTAGGCTATTTAAATGTTTTATGTACTTGAACTCAAAAACCATTTTTTTTTTTTGAGACGGAGTTTTGCTCAAAACCAGTCTGTTACCCAGACCGGAGTGCAATGGCACGATCTTGGCTCACCGCAACCTCCGCCTTCTGTGTTTAAGCAATTCTCCTGCCTCAGCCTCCCAAGTAGCTGGGACTATAGGCACGCACCACTATGCCCAGCTAATTTTTGTATTTTTAGTAGAGACGGGGTTTCACCTTGTTGACCAGGATGGTCTCGATCTCTTGACCTCGTGATCCACCCGCCTCGGCCTCCAAAGTGCTGGGATTACAGGCGTGAACCACCGCCCCTGGCCAAAAATGAATTTTTTAAATTAGGAATTCCTGACTTGGGGATACTTGCCTGAGGGTTTCTCTTTTCTCCCGTCATTTCATATGATTGAAAATGCCAGTAAGGATGAATTTTTCCATGATTTGGAATTGCCAGAGATGATGGACTTCTAACGACTGAAATAACCAGTCGTATTTGTACAAGGCTAATTGTTTAAATACCACATTCTTCTTATAGGATTACTGTTTTCCTTAAAATAGTGATTCTACTAACTAGAGTTTGAATCTAACTTCAGTGCTGTCTGTCTGTCCAAGACTGTCCTGAATTAAGTGATTTTAAGGAAGAAAGTCTATCAATTTAATTTATTTGCATTTTATGAATTCTTTTAAAAAAAAAAACATGAGCATATAATTAAATCTCTCCTATACTGTTTACAGTGTTTATAGCTTATATATAAATTTCTCCTATCAAATTTCTTCCATTTTGTGACAGTTTTATTAACTAACCAACAGACTCCACTGCTGATTTATCACCAATAATAGTAAATTTTTTGAGAATTTAAATTTACCTACGGTAAGTAACAGCCATTAATAACTTGATCTCTTTTTTAAATAACTGGAGGCTTGGTGTAGGCGAAAGCAAACAGGTTAGGTCCATCTCTGAGCTGGGTAACCTTTTTTTGTCACTGATCCCGCCCTTAAAGTAAGTTAGGTTATGTACTTGCGGTCCACAGATGAGCCATGGGGATTAATTAGTCTGTGAATGTCCTAAAATTCAGTACCACTGTGAGTGTATGTGGATTTTCACCCAATTTTTATCAAAAGAAGTTTGTGGTATAATGGATAGGTGGGCAGTATAGTGGGCCCTGCAGTGAGACTGCCCGGATTTATATTCTGAGGGGGTTTCTGAGTGCTATCCCAAATATGGTACCTTGGCATATTGAATATTTTAAGCTGAAGAAATTTGAGAAATGGCAGGTTAAGGAGGACTCTCTGACTTTCCCTTGAAGCAGGTCATAAGACCCTCCTGTGAGAGACACTCTCCCTATACCCAGAAAAATGGAGCATTCGTCTCCCTGAAGATGGAGGGACACTGAGGGGAATCTGCAAGAACAGGCCTTGCTCAGTTTCCCCGTTTACTACCCTTAGCGCCGACCCCTCTGCCTTATCACATTTTCCCATGACTTTTCATCAAACCTAGTACAACAAAACACTCAGGTTTAATCGTTTTTAATGTCTTCATTTCTTGATGAAGTCTCCTATGTCACATAATACTTCTATTACATACATTTGTGTGCTTTTCTCTTGTTAGTCTGTCTTTTGTTACAGAGCCACAGCTGAGAACCTAGAAAGGAAGAAACAAAAGACTTTTTCCTCTCCTATATTCCCAACCCACTACTTAGCTAGGTGACTTCAAACAAGTTACTTAACTTCTCTCTGCTTCAGTGTTCTCAAAATTGCCGAAATGATCTTATAGGACTGCTGTGACGGTTAAATGTGAGAATTCTGTGGCCATGAAAACTCTCAATGAAGTGGCAGGCACTTAATAAGCAGTCAGCAAATTGTACTAATTACATCACACAGTTGGCCCTCCATATCCACAGGTTCCATATCTTTAGATTCAAGCAACCTTGGATGGAAAATATCTGAAAAAAGTCAACAATAAAAATAGCAATACAACAATTAAAGTTATATTAATTAAAAATATAAAAACGATATAGCATTTAGGTTATAATAGATATTATAATCATCTAGAGATGATTTAGTATATGGGAGGATTTATGTAGGTTATATGCAAACACTAGGCCAGTTTTCATTAGTCACTTGAGCATCTGTGGGTTTTGGTATCTGAGGAGGTCTAGGAACCAGTTTCCCAGGGATACCAAGAGGTGACCGTATTCTCAAAATAATCTGTAACCTCCAAAAAGTTAAGAGGCGCTGGCCTATATTTTTAGAACTGTTTTTTTTTTGAGATGGAGTTTCACTCTCGTTACCCCGGCTGGAGTGCAATGGTGCCATCTTGGCTCACCGCAACCTCCGCCTCCTGGGTTCAGGCAATTCTCCTGCCTCAGCCTCCTGAGTAGCTGGGATTACAGGCACATACCACCATGCTCAGCTAATTTTTTGTATTTTGAGTAGAGACGGGGTTTCACCATGTTGACCAGGATGGTCTCGATCTGTTGACCTCGTGATCCACCCACCTCGGCCTCCCAAAGTGCTGGGATTACAGGCTTGAGCCACCACGCCCGGCCAGAACTGTGTTTTAAAGAACAAATCAGTACCTGATTTAATAAGTCACACTCAAGCCTAATTAGAACAGAAATACTAATTTGCAAAACATACAGATGCATATTCATCATGAGGCAGAAAGGCCTTATAAATAGCTTTGAAAATGTGGAAGGTCAATTTGCATTGTTCTTCCATGGGAGAAAAAGAATCTACCAAGTCTCAGGTAAGCCTCCAAAAAATTATTTCCATTTGCCCATGTCTTCTGTACTATCCAAGCTTGTCTGGAAACCCTGAAATAAATTTCAAGGTGACAACCTAAATTTAACTCTGCGGTTAAGTCCAACCCCCTCTGCGATTGTGGCTTGTGGATTTCTCAGCATTATTATCATTTTTTATTATTTTTTTTTAGTTAGCATGGAAGTCAAAAGTTACAAAAGTAATGAGATTCTGCATCTTTTAATGAAAGATAAAACAACAATATAAACATACACAAATTTACAGAGAAAGGATCAACTTTAATACATTTGGAGTAAAAGGTGTTTCCTCTTTAAATATGGTATAAAAATAAATGCAAGAAACATTAACAGAGAATGTACAGACAACAGACAAAGACATGAGTGTGTTTCTGACTGTGGATACACTGGTGAAATGAAACTTTCTGTGCTAATTTATTGTTTAATAAATGAGAAGCCATATGTATACTTATTGATAAATGCTTTTTTTCTTTTACAATTCTTCCAGTTTGTGACTGACTGAATTTTCAGTGAACTGTGTGTCTAGCAGAAGCTTTGAGAGAGAGAGAGAGTGAGAGAGAGAGAGGGAAGGAAAAAAGAAAAGGTTTTACTTCACTTGAACTTGTTAAAAAGGAAAAAGACACAGATCCAGCATAGTAGAAGGAGGAAGAAAGCAGACAACGGTTTGGAATGGAGGCATCGAGATGGTAGAGTCCACTGGAAATGGAACGTACACACAAAAATAACAATTTAGGTCCTTTGCTCATGCAACATCTTGGTCTAATGTCCTCTGCTCCAGGTCACAACAGCGAGCTACAAAGTATGTGCAATGATTCCATTCTGCATCCATGCTACAAGATGATCCGTTTAGTAAGACTGAACAAGGCTTGTTAACCTCTTTGACGTGAGAGATTTCCCCTGAGAAAATACATAAAACAAGAAAAAAGAAAGAAAATCAAGCATGATCACTGAAAACCTGCTTAGTAGTAGCAACTATTTATTGTAACTGATTTTTGTGTAAGGGTCAAAAGTGAACCCTTTAAGTCCATCTTAGTTCAAACTTCATGACCAACCTGCCTTCCCCCCTCCCTCCACTGACACATCAAACAAAACTATCCTCCCTCCCTCCACCCTCCTACCCTCCCAAGTCCTTCCACCCCACTGCAAACAGACTGATGGTTTCACAGCACAGATTAGCAAATCATAAAACATATCCATAAATGTTCCATCAAGGCTTAGCAATGAAGCAACACCTAGGTTCCCAACTGGTTATAAACACGTTACAACAAATCTTAGTAAGCTACTCTGAAAGGTTAACAATGTGAGTGCATTCTTGTTCAGTGGTGGAAATTAATGTCACATTTATAAATATCTAGAACTGTAGAAGGTATGTATGATTTAATTAAACAACATGCAGTTTTTGAGGGTGTGATTCAAGAAACTTAAAACTGAATCTGTCCCCTATCCTACATAATAATGGAGTAAAAAGTGCCAATTATACATCTGAAGATAAACGTCTATTTGTTCCCTGCTTCCAGCTGTCGATGTCTGCCTGTCATTTCCCACCTGACTTCTTCCAACCCTAATCCAAGAAAAAAATCTCACCTATTCTGATTCCACATATCATATGATTACATAAAGGACATATTTATGTTTTAGAAATCTTGTAAGTCAACACCGTTCTTGTTAATTACAAGTACTCTAGAGAGATAAGAAATTTGAAATGTTTGATTGGAATACAAATGGTGGTTTTGGTTCCATCTCTTATTTTTTATGTTCTATTATAAAAATACACAGGGCAGTTTTTAATGGATTTTTGTATATATCAGAAGATAAAATAAGTAAAAATAAAAAATTAGAAAAATATATATTAGTAGTAAATTACAGTCATAGCAACAGTCTTGATTTGCTGCCTGATGTGGCTCAGTTTTAGAAAGGGGTCAGTGGTAATGGGAGATGCATCATCTCTCATGGCCACTGTCTTTGTTTGGGCTGCTATAGCAGAAAACCATAGACGAAGTGGCTTATAAACAACAGAAATGTACTTCTTATGGTCTCAAGGCTGGGAAGTCCAAGATCGAGATGCTTACGGATTCTTTGTCTAGTGAGGGACTTCTTCTTGATTAATCAATGGTGCATTCTCTTGTGTCCTCAGATAATGAAGAAAGAAATAAGCTCCCTGGGACCTATCTAATAAAGGCTGCTATAAGAGCTTCATATTCATGATCTAATTACCTTCCAAGGGCCCTGCCTCGTAATACTATCATCCTAGAGGTTAGGATTTAACATGTGAATTTGAGGGAGGAGGGAGCACCCATAGTTCATAGCAGCCATGTTTTGGGAAAAGAATATGTTTAAGAAAAGATTAGTAATTCCATAACGAACCTTTCTTTACACACTGTATAATTACTGATAAGGCCCTTTTGCCTACATGAACAGCAGCAATGAAAATCATGCACCATTTTCTTTTAGTTTTTTCTTAATTGGGAAAAAGAGTCCTCAACTTAGCTTTCAGCAACTGGGAGTAGAAGATATCGAAGTTTAATGTTGGTATTTCCCACTCGGCTTACGTTTATTCGCTTTATTGGAGAAACGGCAGTAAGAGATATCATAGTTTATTAACAAGAGACTGCTTCATAAACAAAATATGCACTCCTGCCTGCACCAGTCTGAATGTTATTCCCCCTCAAAGCTCATGTGTTGAAAACCTACTCCCCAGTATGATGCTATTAGGAGGTAGGGGCTTTGGGAAGTGATCAGGTATGAGGGTGAAGCACTCACTCATGGGATTAGTGCTCTTTTTCATTTTTATTTTTTTGTGACAGAGTCTCATTCTGTCGCCCAGGCTGGAGTGCAGTGGTGCAATCTCGTTTACTGCAACCTCTGCCTCCTGGGTTCAAGCAATTCTCCTGCCTCAGTCTCCTGAATATCTGGGATTACAGGCATGTGCCACTACGCCCGGCTAATTTTTTGCATTTTTAATATTTTTAGTAGCGACAGAGCCATGTTGGCCAGGCTGGTCTTGAACCCCTGACCTCAGGTGATCTGACCACCTTGGCCTCCTAAAGTGCTGGGATTACAGGCAGGCTCTTATAAAAGAGGCCCAATAAAGCTTGCTTGCCCCTCCCACCATGTAAGGGTATAGTAGGAAAATGGCTCCCTATGAACCAGGAAGAGGGCCCTCACTGGACACTGAATCTGCCAGCATCTTGATCTTGGACTTCTCTGCTTCTAGAACTGTGAGAGACAAATTTATTTTGATTATAAGCAATCCACCCAGTTTATGGCATTTTGTTATAGCTGACTATAAAGGACTGAAATGCTGCCCCTACTTCTATGCCTATTTCCTCATCTGTAAAATGAGGATAATATAATACTTACTTTCAAATCTTGTTCTGAAGACTGATACAAGTGAATTGCTTAAAACTATTCATGAATCACTTTATGCACTCCGTTTACGTTGGCTATTACCTTATTATCCTGTGGTTATAATTGTTAGTACTATCACTGTATGCTCTCTTCATTAGGATACCCACATCCAGAGTCACTATTCTGACTCTGAGAAGGACAGAAAGTTACAAACAAATTGAAAGCTAAAATCATACTGCTTTTCTACCCGAATCCTGGGCAATAAATTAATCAAATGATGTTGAAATAAAAAATATTTAGTTCTTAAATACAATGCTATTTCCCGTGTTTACTACTATAGTGTCTGTGCTATGAATAGAATTGTATACACATGTGCACATATACCTATTCTGAGACTGAATAATTTATCTTTAAAAAGTGCTTACTCAGCTGGGCATGGTGGCTCATGCCTGTAATCCCAGCACTTTGGGAGGCTAAGGCAGGTGGATCACTTGAGGCCAGGAGTTGAAGACCAGCCGGGCCAACACAGTGAAGCCCCGTCTCTATGAAAATTAGAAAAATCAGCTAGATGTGGTGGGGCACATCTGTAGTTTCAGCTACTTGGGAGGCTGAGGTGGGGGAATCATTTAAACCCGGGAGGTGAAGGTTGCAGTGAGCGGAGATCAGGCCACTGAATTCCAGCCTGGGCCATAGAGTGAGACTCTGTCTCAGAAAAAGAAAAGTGCTCACTCTTTGTGGGATGAAGGTACACATCAGTCAGTATATGTTGGATGAGGCACAGGAATAAATTTGTAGACAGTGGAAGACTAGGGGAAAGTTGCTAATATAAAACCGTTTCCTTTAAAACCACAGATGAATGTGATTTGGTTTAAAATTCTGGGAAAAAAAGTGAAATAGTTATATTGAAATTGGAAGCCATTTGAAACTCAGATACAGTCATTTTTTAAATTTGGACAATGAACTCTACTGTTGTCTTTATCAATTTAACAAAAAGAAACATGCTTCTCTTTCTATGGTTTTGTTTGTTTTTATTTTTTCAAATATCCTCAAATCCTCAAAGCTACTGGTACGTGGCCTGGTATGGACTTCATTAAAAAGTGGATATGATATGAGTTAAGCCTGACAAGCTCTTGTCCCAGGGAAGAATTAAAAAACACTTCTTCATAGAAGCCCATAGAGAAATACAGGCCCACAGTGAACCCAGAGCTTTGTGATCTGAGCATAAAAATAGGCAGAAATGAGACAGGTGTATTTTAACAATAAAACTCTGTGTGGGCTGGGTGCGGTGGGAGGCTGAGGTGAGCGGATCACCTGAGGTCAGGAGTTTGTGACCATCCTGGCCAGCATGGTGAAACTCCGTCTCTACTAAAAATACAAAAATTAGCCAGGTGTGGTGGCAAGTGCCTGTAGTACCAGCTACTCAGGAGGCTGAGGCAGGGAGAACTGCTTGAACCAGGGAGGTGGAGGTTACAGTCAGCCGAGATCACACCACTGCACTCATCCTGGGTGACAGAGGGAGACTCTGTCTCAAAAAACCTCTGTGTGTGGTACAGATGTATCAAATGTGCAATAGGATATTTGTTTTGTATACTGAGATGACTAAAAGGCAAACCAGGGTACAACTAACAGTTAAAAGATCTCAGGTGCAGTACTGTGGTCAAAGCCGACAGCACAAATGCCCAACAGGCCATCTGGACTGGAAGACTTCGATCACTTGGATCTGTTTGCAAACCATGTGCAAATCCTGCTTTATTCACATACTGGAAAGGAAAATGCATAAGCACTACTCTAGTGCACACAAAAAATGATTGTGTGTGTGCTTCTGGTTGCTCACTCCATTGCAATGTATGAGGTTAAGAAGAACACGGGTCAGTTCCAGGAAAGTACACACAGTACGATATTTGCATGTCAGCCGTTTTCTAACAGTTATTTTCAGTGCAGTCCCTTGGATGCTGTATGGAACCAGCTCTTGCCAACGATCTTTTCCTAATTTTTCCAAATGGAAGAATCTGAGAAATAGGTTTTTTTTATTTTTTAAATTTTCGAGATAGAGTCTTGCTCTATCACCCAGGCTGGGGTGTGACTGTGACTCATTGCAGCTTCAACCTCCCAGGCTCAAGTGATCCTCCTGCCTCTGCCTCCCGAGTAGCTGAGACCACAGGTATGCACCATCATGCCTCGCTGATTTTTCTATTTTTAGTAGAGATGAGGTCTCATTAGGTTGTCCAGTCTGATCTCAAACTCCTGGGCTCAAGTGATCCTCCCACCTCAGTCTCCCAAAGTGCTGGGATTACAAGTATGAGCCAGTATACCTGGCCAAATCTGAGAAATTTTTATAGCTAAGTTTCAAATTCTTAATTCCGGCAATTAAAAAGGCTAACAAACCCTCATCAATAGCACGTTTTAAAAACCAAGTTGCTTACAATAATTCAGTCATTCTATGTGAATAATACTTATTTTTAAACCCAAGATTTACATGTTATGTGATTTAAATATTCCTGTCAGAGTCTAAAGGAAACAGATTATAGTAGAAGGAAAAATCTATAAAG